CAGCATGATATAGCAGTTCTACCACGGGATTTATTTATTTAGTGTCTAAAGCATTGCATAAATAAACAAGTATAAAACTGATAGAATAGAGTGAACACAAGCGGCGAAATCATTTTAGACCAAAAACGGGCAACAGCAACTGCATTGTCTGTAGCTTTAAACCAGCATTTTTCAACCTGGGAGTCGGGACCCCTGGAGGGGTTGTGAGGGGGATGTCAGAAGGGTTGCCAAAAACCATCAGAAAACACAGTATTTTTTGTTGGTAATGGGGGTTTTGTGTGGGAAGTTTGTTGGTGGGGTTCAGAATGCTCTTTGATTGTAGGTGAACTATAAAACTCCTCCACTGTGATTGGCGGGCCTCTCAGCCAAGGGGAGGGCTGTTTCTGAGACTCCAAGCAGGGCAGGTGTGCTCGGCACATGGCAGCGTGGTACACATGTGCGAGCAAGGGAGAGTGCACAAGGCTGGAGGGAGGCTCACAACAGTGAGTCTCTGCAAGGCACGGGGGTTCTGTGTGGGAAATTTGACCCAGTTCTATCGTTGGTGAACTGTAAATCCCAGCAACTACAACTCCCAAATGTCAAGGTCTATTTTTCCCAAACTCCACCAGTGTGCACATTGGGTATATCGAGTATTCATGCCAAGTTTGGTCCAGATCCATCATTGTTTGAGTCCACAGTGCTCTCTGGGTGTAGGTGAACTACAACTCCAAAACTCAAGATTAATGCCCACCAAACCCTTCCAGCATTTTGTGTTGGTCATGAGAATTCTGTGTGCTAAGTTTGGTTCAATTCCATCACGCTTTATACCAGGGATAAAGGATAGATGTTAGCATAGCTGTGAACAAAGAGGGGTGTTTAATCATATGATATGGGAATGTGATCAAGTGCAAGAATACTGGAAAAGTATTGAAGGGGAAATCAATAGAATGTTAAATTTACAAATAGTAATAATTAACAGAAATGTACTACATGCACTGATAACAGGAGTGAAAAATATACAAAAGGAAAAATTGGTTGACAAATTAATAGCATGTGCACAAATTGTTTTAGTGAGTGGTTGGAAAGACAAAACAAAATGGACACTGATTAATTGGTATAGCTATATAGTTAATATGTTAAATGTGGAAATAACAAATTGCACATGGAATAATATAGATAAAATTGAAAAGGTTACAACTAAGAGGATGTGGGAATCAGTTAGGAATTATTTAGAGAATGTGTTAAGATGTGGAGTAGAAAAATTAAGTCAGACTGATATTTCAAATGTAACTTCTGTAGTTTGATGTATAAATTGCATATACAAGGAGGGGAGGGTGGGAGTGGGAAAAACCAATAAAACAATTTAAAAATAGAAAAAAATTCCATCATTGCTGGAGTTCAAAATGTTCTTTGATTGTAGGTTAACTATAAATCCCAGCAACTACAACTTGAAAGTACATCCTGCATATCGGATATTTACATTATAATTAATAACAGTAGCAAAATTACATTTATGAAGTAGCAATGAAAATAATTCTATGGTTGGGGTTCGCCACAACATGAGGAACTGTATTAAGGGGTCACGGCATTAGGACGGTGGAGAACCACTGCTTTAAACAGTTTTTCCTCTGTTTGTGAGACAGGGCATTGTGAGCAAGCATAGAGATGCAGAGTTGTTTGTTCTGCTCCACAGTAGGGCCATTTTGCCATGTTGTCTTTTGATCTGCCCACTCCACTTCTGAGTCTGTTCAGGGACTTCCAAGTTGCCCATTCTTGGTTTGCCCCTGGAGGAAGACCCTCATAGTCTACCACTGGACAGGCATGTAGCCGGGGGGGAGGGGCCTTGAGGGGCTTGAGCCCCCCCCCCAATTCTCATGGTGGTTCGTGAAAAGGCCTTAAGGTAAAGGTAAAGGTAGTCCCCTGACATTAAGTCCAGTCATGTCTGACTCTGGGGTGTGGTGCTCATCTCCATTTCTAAGCCGAAGAGCCAGCGTTGTCCGTAGACACCTCCAAGGTCATGTGGCCGGCATGACTGCATGGAGCGCCGTTACCTTCCCGCCGGAGCGGTACCTATTGATCTACTCACATTTGCATGTTTTCGAACTGCTAGGTTGGCAGAAGCTAGGGCTGACAGCGGAAGCTCACGCCGCTCCCCGGAATCGAACCAGCGACCTTTCGATCAACAAGCTCAGCAGCTCAGTGCTTTAACCCACTGCGCCACCGGGGGCTCTGTTTTACAAACTGTTATGTTTATTCATATCATGATCTGATCACATACTCAATATATCCCATATGCATGGGGGTATTGGGGTAATGATACAAAAGGTTTGCTAGGGTAGACCCTCTTTCACTCAGACTCAGCCCTCCCCCCGAAACAAACTCAGCCCCCCCTCCCCCCGAAACGAAATCCTGGCTACGGGCCTGCCATTGGATAACAACCCTGAATGAAGACCAGGATTCAAATCCCAGCTTGATTATAAGAAGCCATTGGATGATCTTGGCCAACTCACATGCTCTCATCCTCAAAGGAAGGCAATGGCAAAAAACAAAAAACCAAAAACAAACCCTCAACCTTTAGAGCAAATTCTGCCAAGAAAACCCTGTAATAGGTTTACCTTAGGTTCGCCATAAATCAGAAATTACTTGGAAGATACATGACAACAATAAAATATAACTTGCGATGTTTACTTCCTTGTAAATATGCCTGTCATTACCTCTTTAGTAAATTGTCATCTTCTTCCTTGTCTAACTCACCTGACCTTGGTAAGTGAAGTTGAAATCCACAAAAGTGCATGCCATATAAAACTTGTTAATTTTTAAAATGTCACAAGGATGGTTGCTGGTTTTTCTACCTTATAGGCATGTTAATGAGGGTTTTAAAAAGTATCATACACGTAGCCCTTCAAGCTCTTTGGGAAAAGTTGGGTGGAGATAAAAGAAATGATTAATAACTGGCAATTAGAGCATGCAGTCTCAACGCAAAAATTTATTAAGGGTTGATATCTGTGTGCCATTCATCCTCTGGTGACTACAACCTCAAGGGATGAATATATACATATAAAGGTGTACAGGTTACATACACCCCAGACCAAATATTCATAGTGTTCAAATTCATTTCAGATGGAAAAATAAGAGGCATTAGTAGACATAGGGAAACTCCTGAAATCATTTTAGACCAATAGCTTTATCAGGCCAACCAGAAGCCCCTGGTGGCACAGCGGGTTAAACCTTTGTGCCGGCAGGACTGATGACTGACAGGTCAGCGGTTCAAATCCAGGAAGAGTAGGTTGAGCTCCCTCTGTCAGCTCCAGCTCCCCATGCGGGGACATGAGAGAAGCCTCCCACAAGGATGGTAAAACATCAAAAACATCTGGGTGTCCTCTGGGCAACGTCCTTGCAGACAGCCAATTCTCTCACACCAGAAGCAACTTGCAGTATCTCAAGTCATTCCGGACATGAAAAAAATCAGGCCAACCAAAAGGAAAGATTTGGACCTGGTTTCAAGACATCCAATTTTTTTTGTCAGATAAAATACGACCAATGAACAGGAGAAATAGGAGCATATTACATTTTTGTCTGCCAATAATAAAATGACAAAATTTCAAGTGATAAACATGCACAGGTGAAATGGTCCTTGTAAATCAGACACTGCCATGAAGACAGAAAACCCTCCACATTTGCAGTTTTGACTTTTGTGGATTTGATGATTTGATTTAAAATGTTCTCTCTAGCAATGTCTAGTTCTTCCAGTGTGACTCCATGGTCAACTTCTTCCAGTTATGCTTAGGAACCGCTGAATCTTCCATTGGATCTTCCAGACCAGGCTGTAGTTAATAGCTAGCTGCATTAAATCACTACTGACTGAGAGGTCATGAGTTCGAAGCTAGCCCGGGTCAGATAAGCTCCCGACCATTAATAGTCTAGTTTGCTGTTGACCTATGCAGCTTGAAAGACAGTTGCATCTGTCAAGTAGGAAATTTAGATACCGCTTTATGTGGGAAGGCTAATTTAACTAATTTACAACACCATAAAACCTTCCAGCAACGTGCGTAAGAATGAGGAAGTACTCCATCAAGGACTTACTATCACAAGTCGATGGTGAAGCATCAACTCCCCCTGTGGCCAGAACCGATCATACCCTCATGAAGCCAGAAAGCTGAAATGTAATTTGCCTCTGTGTCTATCTATATATGTTGTATGTCTAATGGCACTGAATGTTTGCCATGTATATGTGCATTGTAATCCGTCCTCAGTCCCCTGCAGGGTGAGAAGGGCGGAATATAAATACTGTAAATAAATAAATAAAATAAATAATTGCGATTCTATGGTCAGCTTGCAGTAGAGCTTGCAGTAGATGTTGAACAAAGAATTGTGCCAGAAGACCTAAAGAGGTGTTTTCACGAGTTAAAAATATAGCAATTTCTTAATTTGTGTTTGCAGTTTTACAACCCTAGTGAATGTGGACCATATTCTGTTGTGATAGTTTTCTCTCACTGCAAAATGTCATTATCTTTATTTGGCCTTTACACCTTCCTGCCTCAGGCAACACGTAAGATGTTTTACACCCTATTTATCAGGATGCAATCTTTGTCATTCTAGTCTCTTACATTTTAACTTGGTTAACCTGGTCAGCATTCCAGCATACCACATGAATGTGTGTGTGAATGCATAATATATGTTGCCTATGGCTTTCTGAGTCAGCACAATACACCTGAGGAAGTAGGGTGTATCTCGGAAAGGTTTTGCCACAACAAACAAATACCTACAGTAACATAGGAGTCATTCGTTGGGGTTGCCTGGACTTTTTCTCTGCAACTTTTTTGCTTTCCTGGAATTTAATCTGCTTTGAATCTACACCCTCAGATGCTCCCCTCTTCTCTTCTCTGATGGGGTTGAACTGGAGCACCTGTCCGCAGCAAAATGCTTAGTTTCCTTTCGTCATGAATATTCAGATCTCTCTCAGCTCAGCCTCTATTTGCTCCTGTTTACTTTAGACAGGAGTGGCCCCGTCTCCAGTTAACCTTGACATACAGAGAGAAAGAAAGAGAGAGAGAGAGAGAGAGAGAGAGAGAGGGAGGGAGGGAGGGAGACACACAGAGAGAAAGGTGCAGCAGGAACAGGTATGTGGCACCTCGACACACCTGTGATGTGAAAACCGCTTTGCTACTGGTTACAGGAGAGGAACCTACTCATTTTGCCACAGAGATCTACTCCATCCCACCCCTTCTTCATGTTGGTCTTTGCCCACAACAGCTGAACGTACGATCTGGTGGTGGAACAAAGTTTAGAAGCCCAAGAGAGCAGGTATGTTAGTAAAGGTACTATTGCGGCAGCCGGGAAAGGGGTGTAAGGAGGGAAACTTGAACCACTGCCTGGAGTCTTGTGCCTCAGTACCACCGCCACAAATGTTTTATTGATCAGTGCAACAGGTGGAAAGCCTGAAACCAATGTATTGGAGTGGGCAGAGTTTTAAGTATCGAGCTGGGGAGGATCAGAGTTTCAGAAAGTGGCTTCATGGATTACCAGCCCCCAGGTGTTGAGCTACCGGGTCTAATGGTTAAGCTGGCTGGGAATGCTAGGAGTTGTAGTTCAAAAAGTTACTAATCCAAAATCTGGGAGAGACAGTTTCTCATCTTTTCTGGATTTGGAATGGCACTGTGTTGGTTTGGACAGGATGTATCTTCTCAGCATAATCCGCTTTACTGCCTTGTTATGAGGATTGAGGTAAGGACAGGCGGCAAGTTATGTTTGTGGCAGTATGGAAAAGGAGAATGTGTGAGAGGCAACTCAATTGCTAATAGTGTTTTTCGTGTTCTGCAGTAGCAGATTAATTAAGATATATCTTTCTAATCCTGAGTTCCTCCCATGCGTGCAGTAGATCTATTTGAATCCACAGGTTTATCTCATGTGTCCATGCTTTATGCATCATGGATACTTAAAATGGGAGCCCCTGGTGGCACAGCGGGTTAAACTGCTGGGCTGCTAAACTTGCTGACTGAAAGGTTGGTGGTTCGAATCCGGGGAGCGGGCTGAACTCCCGCTGTTAGCCCCAGCTTCTGCAGTTTGAAAACATGGACATGTGAGTAGATAAATAGGTACTGCTTCAGCGGGAAGGTAACGGCGCTCCTTGCAGTCATGCTGGCCACACGACCTTGGAGGAGTCTACAGACAGTGCTGGCTCTTCAACTTAGAAATGGAAATGACCATCACCCCCCAGAGTTGGACACGACTAGACTTAATGTCAGGGGAAAACCTTTACCTTTTACACTTAAAATGCCCTAAATAAAATCACGGTGGTCAGGGTCTTCAGCAACAATTCCTACATTTAAGGTTGCCAGTTTTGCCTGGTCCACATATTAAAACTATAGTTGCTACTCATTTGTTGTACAGGACCCAGATATCTTTTCCTCACTAAGATACTTTTGTGGCAACTGTTCCCCAACTGTTCACAATGTAGTCTTTTGAACTGAGAAAAATGACATTTTCTCATGTCTTTGATGATTACTTGACTGCTGTAATCCCTTTTTAGATAGGACCCAGGTTAAGAATGCCAGAAAGCTCCACAAAACTAAAAAAACCCTACTTTTCTGGACAACACATCCTTGAATGGTCATTGGCCATACTGACTGGGGAATTCTGGAAAATGTAGTCCAAATGTAACTTTCCGAAATCATTCTTGTTTAGGAGGCACCAATATGCTCTTTTGATCTTAAAAGAATTGTGGGATATTTGCAATACGTAAATGTGGGGTGAGAGAGCTGGTGTTTTGGGTGCTAGACCGCCAAGAGGTCAGGGTTCAAATCTCTGGTCAGTTATGTATACCTACTGGGTGACCTTGGGCAAGTCACTCTTTCTCAACCTTAAAGGAAGGCAATGGCAAACCTCCTCTGAATAAATCCCAAGAAGACTGACAGCTGCTGCAGTCAAACAACATCTGATGGGTTGCTAAATGAGTCCCTCCTTTTTTATATACTGAGCAGTTTAACCGATTTGAAAATGATATAATCTTCATGTTATCTAACTTAGGAATATTCAATGTGATGTTTCCATGATGGGACTATGGTAGAATGCCCAAAAAGGCACCTCCAGATATCACCACTCCCATCATTCCCATCAATCATAGTTATGCTGGTTAGAGCCAATGGGAGTTGGAGAAGGAAAGACTGGAGTATCTAGCTGATGAATTAATGGAAGATGACAAAAATGCAAATTTCATAATTCTAGGGATAAGGGAACTGTGACAGATAAACTCAGAGTCATATTGATGTCTGTAGTGTAGCCAGGCAAAGAGGAAACTCTCTGTTAGTAGAGAGCTGGGAAGGAGATTTATGTCTTTGTCAAAATGATTTGCCAATAAATCCAGAGTTTCACTGGAGAGAGTTTGGAAGAGTTACTTTTGGAGACTATGCCTTCCACAATCCCCCAACCAGCAAGGGAAGTGGAGTATGGTATACCAAGGATTCTGATAGTTTTTAGAAGACAATATTTACAAATAAGGAGGAAGAAAGGGTTGTTCTTCAAGTTGTCGATCCAGCGTGAACATCCAAATAAACACACCCAGGAAGCAACCATAAAGTCAATCTGGTCACTATAGGGAGAGGTATTGATTTTCTATTTAAATCATTGTAACCATTTCTGAATTTGCATGCATACATATAAAGTAGCACATGCAAATTCTTTGGAAACCTGCATCCTCTTTTTTTTGCGTGGCCACTGTCATCCTCATCCCTCCAAAAAGAGTTGCCATGGGAGGGAGGTCCTAGTAGCTTTCCAATTAAATCTTCTGCCTAAAGACAGGATATCCAGTATGTAAACCCCTCCAGTCTTCCTGAAAGATGCCCTTTGAACCTTTTCTCATCTGAAAAAGAAAATTCCCCAACTTTCCTTAATTGCTTGTTTCAGCACAGCTTACTACTTTTTCCTACAAACAGACAGTACATACTTTTGAGGAAGAAGAATTCTATGAAACAATTGGGTAGGACACTAGGGAAACCAATCCTGATAGTTTTCAGGGAGAATTCAGTGATTTCTTGAAAATTTAGATAACTACTGGTGGGTGAGTTTACCCCAAAGACAGCTGCCCTTTTGTATTGCATTTCCTCTCTGTAGTGGAACAATAATAGGGATCAGAGCCTTATGAGGGACCCTTTCACACTATTTCACAACTATACCATTATTATTCCACTTCAACTGCCATTTCTGCATCCTCTGGACCTTTGAGACTTATAGTTTGGGGAGGCACTAGAAAAATGGTTCTCAACCTTCCTAATGCCGCAACCCCTTAATACAGTTCCTCCTGTTGTGGTGATCCCCAACCATAACATTATTTTCATTGCTACTTCATAACTGTAATTCTGCTACTGTTATGCATCATAATGTAAATATCTTATATGCAGGATGTATTTTCATTCACTGGACCAAATTTGGCACAAATACCCGATAAACCCAAATCTGTATTCTGGTGGGGTGGGGTGGGGGGGGGGCATTGATTTTGTCCTTTGGGAGTTGTAGTTGCTGGCATTAATAGTTCACCTACAATCAAAGAGCGTTCTGAATTCTACCAATGATGGAATGGAACTAAACTTGGCACACAGAACTCCCATGACCAGCAGAAAATACTGGAAGGGTTTGGTTGGCATTGACTTGGAGTTTTGGAGTTGTAGTTTACCTACATCCAGAGAGCACTATGGACTCAAACAATGATGGAGCTGGATCAAACTTGGCCTGAATACTCAATATACCAAACACTGGTGGAGTTGGAGAAAATAGACCTTGACATTTGGGAGTTGTAGTTGCTGGGATTTATAGTTCACCTACAATCAAAGAGCATTCTGAACCCCACCAATGACAGAATTGGGTCAAACTTCCCACACAGAACCCCCATGCCTTGAAGGCACTCGTTGGTGCAATCCTCCCTTCAGCCTCACACGCTCTCCCTCGCACATGCACACCACCCTGCCATGCACCAAGCACACCTGCTCTCCCCTCTCTGCTTGGAGTTTCAGAAACAGCCCTTCCCTTGTCTGAGAAGCTGGCCAATCACAGCAAAGGAGGGCTTTTGGTGGAAGAGAAGGACAGGCAGAGAGGTCTTCAGCCTTTTCTGCCACAGGGGTTCCTAAGACCATCAGAAATACAGGTATGTGTTTTCTGATGGTGTTTGGTGACCCCTCTTAAATCCCCTCGCAACCTCTCCCCCAAGTTGAGAAATGCTGCACTAGAACTATGTGTCAGAGAACTCTTTAAACTGCAGACATCATGATTCTTTAGGCCAGTGATTCCCAACCTGTGGTCCATGGACCACCATTGGTTCCCAGGAATTAAAATATGGTCCATGGCTTCAACATTACTACACTGTTGCAATGAGAGCAACTGGTCTTGCTAAACCCTCTTATAGTGCCAAGGCAACAGGGATGTTGGGAGGGGAGAGGATGACTATCCATGAAAGACCTCCTGACTGCTGCTTCTCCTCGTCCTCCCTCCCCCTGAGTGGAACTGTCCTATGCGGTGTCTGGAAGAGGGGGTAATAATAATAATAATAATAATAATAATAATAATAATTTATTTATACCCTGCTACCATCTCCCCATGGGACTTGGTGCGGCTTACATGAGGCCGAGTCCATAGTACATCAATAATAAAACAATAACAACAAGTAATACAAAACAATAAAAATAAAACTCATAACAAAAATAAGCAAGAAACATCAACAGTAACACAACGACGTTTAAAAACCTATGGCTGGGGTACCTTGGTGTCTTTGTTTTTAGGCCTGTTCCTGGGGTTATTTGGGGTGCTAATTCAGACAAACCACATCAGTTCTAGATTATTAAATATGGTTTTCTGTGGGTGAGCAGATGGCGATTACTGGATGGCATATGTTCTGTATCGGAATCTAAAGCCTATGTGGTCTATCCAATGCAATTTTCTGCATCAGTACCCCAAATAACCAAACAGAATCTAAAGTTGACCAAAAACTGATTCATAAGCCTTTTGGTACTGATGTTGAAGAGTGGTCCCTGGTCAAAAAAGATTGGGAACCACTGCTTTAGGCACTTAAAGTGGAATTATAGTGCTCCTGAGTCCTAAACCTTTTGGACTCTATGCTCATTATTTGGATTCTTCCAAATAACAGGCATTATTATTCCATTATTTGGATTATTCTATGCCCTTTTGCAGCTCCATCAGTGTTTGACATCAGGCAAGCTAATCTTTATCAGCCAAGCTAATCAGTGTAGAAAAGGAGTCTTGGACACTAAAACCTTGAAAGCCACTGTCCTGGTCCAATTCTTTAAGCATAAAGCAAGCATGAAGAACATCCAGTGACCATGCAATGCCTCCTTCAGACCTACTCCTCCCTGACACCCCACCCAGTTGACTTTCAAAAGCCACATGCACCCTTAGGCAAGATCACCACCTTGGCAGTGGGCATTTGCCACAATTTTGTACTTAGACCTGTTTCAAGCCCAGGAAAGTCTAGTTCTTGCTTTGAGACATGTCCTGTGTTGGGTCCACAACAACTTTTGGCAGTCGGGAAAGCATCATCTTCCAATGCAGACTACTTTAGCATCTTATACTCACCTTCAAGTAATTGAAGAAAGCTGAGAACAAAGTGGGGACTGGAAGGAGGCAATAGAAACAGAGACATTTTTAAAGTACCTGGAGAAGTGGGACAACCAGGAATTAATTGGGATTGTTTTTGCCAATTTGGTACAGTTTCCAGAATAAATTCTCACATGACTACTTACTGACACTTTTTTTTATGTGAACCTTTTCAGGTTAAGTTTGATTTAAGGTAAAGGTATAGGTTTTAACCTGACATTAAGTCTAGTTGTGTCTGACTCTGGGGTGTAGTGCTCATCTCAATTTCTAAGCTTGTCCATAGACACCTCCAAGGTCATGTGGTCAGCATGACTGCATGGAGCGCTGTTACCTTCCCGCCGGAGCGGTACCTATTGATCTACTCACATTTGCATGTTTTTGAACTGCTAGGTTGGCAGAAGCTGGGGCTAACAACTGGAGCTTACGCCACTCCCCGGATTCGAACCTGCGACCTTTCTATCAAAGGTTTAACCCACTGTGCCACCAGGGGCTCCAAGTTTAACTTGGGCAATGTTAACAACTACTGGTCTCACAGCAGAGAACATACATAAAGGTGATTAGAAAAAACCCTGAGCTCCATTTTCCCTGGATGCTCGATACGTTACATCATCTTAAATGTAACATAGGCCTAAAAGTGGCTTTTATGTGGTGGACATAACGTGAAATACAATAGGGTCAATTAAGTAGTATTTCTAAGCAGCCTATTGAAAAAGGAAAGGGTAATCAGCCTTTGACGTAGACACTTATTTACACATTACCCAAAGAGAGAAAGAAAGACTGAGATTTGCATAATATTGGAATATGCTACCATATGCATAGAAGTGATGGCTACCATGTAAATAGAAAAAAAAGAAATTACCTTTCTGTAGCAAGAAAGGGGTGCATCTACACTGTAGCATTAATGCAGTTTGATACCACTTTATCTGCCATGGTTCAGTGCAATGGAATCATGGAAGTTGTAGTTTTACAAGCTCTACCAAAGAATGCTAATGCATCACTAAACTTTAACTCTCATGATTCCATAGCATTGAACTATCACTGTCAAACTGGTGTCAAACTACACTAATTTTACTGTGTATGCACCTGATTTATCTGCCTGCATGGTCTGTTATCTAGGTGCTTCCTGTGGATGGGCAGCTTCAAGTTACCTGCACTCCCTCCTTTTGATGCTATTTCCCTTTAAAGAGGTCTTTAAAGGGAAATAGCTAGTGTTTAAAGCAGAAGGTACTTTCAGGAAGACATAATAAAGCATGACATCTTGAAGGTTGTCCATCTTGAATAATTACTTCACTGGGTTGTTGTGAGTTTTCCGGGCTCTATGGCCATGTTCCAGAAGCATTCTCTCCTGACGTTTCACCCACATCTATGGCAGGCATCCTCAGAGGTTGTGAGGTCTGTTGGAAACTAGGCGAGTGGAGTTTATATATCTGTGGAAATAGTTAATTTCTCAACTACTTCCATAGTTGGTGCCTTGGCATTGGCGAGAAGTGTATGCATGCGCAACAGAAACACATGCATACACTTCCCCTTACATACATGCTCCTCTGTTTGCTAACAAACAGATTAAAAGTAAGAGCATGATGACGCCTTCAGCAAATACCTTTTGAGGCTCTGATAGAAGCCGCCTCAACCCAAGTCAGAAGTTGGCTTCTGATCAAGAAACCTCACGGTGATTTGTGAGATAACACATACCTCACTCCTGTGGCAAGGTCGAGTATTGTGGCCTATCACAAAGCGCATGGAAAAGTCTGTAGGCTTGGTTATTTGAAACTACAATTCCCAGAATCTCTTATCTAGCTGAAAGAGGGAAATAAAAGTGTAAATTTCTTTGCTCTGGAATCATAACTAACTCATACTGGCACAGGTATACTGCCAGTCAATCTAGAAATAGGGTTTAGAACAGTGGTTCTCAACGTGTGGGGCCCCAGGTGTTTTGGCCTTCAACTCCTAGAAATCCTAACAGCTGATAAACTGGCTGAGATTTCTGGGAATTGTAGGCCAAAACACCTGAAGACCCACAGGTTGAGAACCAGTAGTTTAGAAGGGCACAATTTCCAGTCAGTAGGAATGTCAATATGTACTTTCCAAAACAAAATATTTGCATTAGGGTTGAGAATATTGGGCTTCATTTTATTGTTTTGTAAAATTGGAACTGTCATGTAGACAATTTTAATACCCTTCCTTCACAAGTTACTATAGCTCTTTAAAAAAAGACTAGAAGTGAAGTTGGCCTATGGGTATTGGAAGTAGTCCCCTAAGGTCCAATAATGGTTATGTGAATGTGTAGCTCCTAAATCTTGGGCAGTTGCCTACCTTGACTGATGAATTTCAAATTTTCACACAACGAAATTGTAAGGTTGTTCAGCTGGCTTGTGTACTGTTTCTCAGTAATAACTAATTAATGTGGCCATGCAGTGATGTCACTTGACCACATGTATGTTAGTTTTCCTCTATGACATGTTAGAATGTATGAAATTGGGTTTCGGAATGGTAAGCTTGGAATTCAGAATTGGTTGTTTGAGCAAGCGTTTGAAAATGCAAGGTAAAAGACATAGAAATTGGAACGACTGGACAACGAGATGGGACAATGTTTTTGTTAGGAGATGCACATCTGGAGCCCCCGGTGGCGCAGTGGGTTAAACCCCTGTGCCGGCAGGACAGGTCGCAGGTTCGAATCCAGGGAGAGGCGGATGAGCTCCCTCTATCAGCTCCAGCTCTTCATATGGGGACATGAGAGAAGCCTCCCACAAGGATGATAAAAACATCAAATCATTCAGGTGTCCCCTGGGCAACGTCCTTGCAGACGGACAATTCTCTCACACCAGAAGCAACTTGTAGTTTCTCAAGTCACTCCTGGCACACAAAAAAAAAAAAGGAGACGCAAATGATGTATGCTTTTAGTATTCTTGTCATGGTTTTTATTATGTGTTAATGTTTTTAAATGTTTTATGGTGTTTTTGAGCATCGAATCATTGCCATTGTAAACCGCCCTGAGTCGCCTAAGGGCTGAGAAGGGCAGTGTACAAATATAGTAAATACATAGAAACATACATACACCAATGGTTCCCAACCTGTGGTCCGCATGAATGAAAATATGGTCCACGGCCTCACCGTTGCCTTGGAATTACAAGGCAACAAGAGCAACTGGTCTCATGAAACCCTCTTATAGTGCCGAGGTGGTAGGGATGTCGGGAGGGGAGAGGCTGACTACAAAAGATTACTACGAACACATCAGCTCTAGATTATTAAATACGGTTTTCTGTGGGCAAGCAGATGGTGACCACTGGATGGCATATGTTCTGTATCAGAAACTAGAGCTGATGTGGTCTATCCAATGCAATTTTCTGAATCAGCACCTCAAATAACCAAACCAAATCTAAAGTTGACATAAAACTGATTTGTAACCCTTTTGGTACTAATGTTGGAGAGTGGTCCCTGGTTAAGTGGTCCCTGATCAAGCGGTCCCTGGTCAAAAAAGGTTGGGAACCACTGATCTAGACACACTAACCAGTTTTGTGAAGGATGGAGAGGAAGGAGTGAATCCAATTCATAAGAACCTAGCAATAACAGACTTGATCTTTCTTCTCCCCAGGGCTGACAAGTCCTTCTCTGTTCACCATGGCAGAAAACAATTATAGCTGGTGGAAGCTGACCTTCCTCCGGAAGAAGAAATCCACTCCCAAGGTGCTGTATGAAAGCCCTGACATCTATCCTGTTGCTAATAATGAAAACCAACAAGAAGGGATTCGAGCAGATGGTAGCAGCGACGCAAACCATCAGCAGGAATTCAATGCCCGGCTGGAGAAGATTGTGGACAAAAGCACCAAAGGAAAACACGTCAAAGTCTCCAATTCTGGGCGCTTCAAGGAAAAGAAGAAAAGGGCCACGCTGTCAGAAAACCCCAACTTTTTTGCTGACAATGACCGGGATGAGAAATGATGGGCGAATGAAGGAGGTGCCCATTATATACCCTTGGTGGTTATTTGAAGACGCTTCTCTGACCCTGAGAAGCCGACTGTGAATCAATTCCATTACATTTGCAAATGAAGTTAACGAGAGGCCTGTCTGGGGCTCCAGGATTAGGTCCCGATTTTCACATGAAGAGTGGCGGTTCGGGGGGAATGAACTTTATTATTGTTATTGTTCTTTATTTTTTAATTTAAGGAATAAAAAGAATATTTACATGAAATGCAAACCTGCTGCATAGTCAGCAGCGGAAAAACGAAAAGCAGAATGCATGAGAGGACATATGCAGAACTGCTTCATATTAACGCTGCCAGACTAGATGGCTGGTCACTCATCTTGGGTCACAAATGCTGGGAAGTGGCACCAAGAGGGATAAAGTGGTGTGCTATAGAGCCACCTTTGTCCTCCCTCTCCTTTCTATAAAATACTTTAATAAAGGTAGGGTGTTTGTGCAACAGAAAGCTGGGCCAAGACAATTTGCCACGTGAAGCTATCTCCCTTCCTTGACCCCAGCACTCCAAGTCAAATCAAGTTCCATAGTTCCAAAGCCAATCAAATCCATAGCTTCTGCCTTTCCCTGTTTGGCACGAAAGGTGTCAATTAATCCTCTTTCACCCCACGTTTTCAGATTATTTTTTAAATGCCCAGTTTTGCCTCCTCCTGCTCCCATTTCTCCCCTTTGTCCTCAGCTTCTTTCAATGGTTACAAACTGACTCCAAAGTGAAAAAACAATTTCCACTCAACTAATTCAGCAGGATGAGAGGAGACGGTGGAACCTAACATTTCCCTATAAGTTCTGGAAAAATGATGCAGCCTTTCCTAGCTTGTGTATTCCTCCTAATTTATATCATTTGCTATTTTGACCGTACTCTGATTTGCTCGACAAGAAGCGTCCTGATTTTCATCTGCTAAATATTGGAAGTAATGGATGTTGTTCTTAGAGATTAACAGGGATGTATATGAAGTACATAGTGTGTAACCAGCTACAAAGCAATCCATAATATCTGTATAATGTGCCCCACATAACTCTGTTCATTCATCATGATTCCCACCAAGTTTGACTACAAAATTCGTTCTTTTTGTTCCCTTCATTTGGGATCTTATGCTTCTTGCCTTCTTGTGCCTCCTCAAGGGCTTTCATAAAGGGAATCAGGGTGTTGCTTGGTACGGGGCACCAGAAAGCAGGACCAATGTTGTCGTTTGAGATGGAACACTAAGTGACATTCCTACTGCCTCAAGTTAGGGTCTGTAGTATCCAGAGCAAGCCAAGTTGTTTTGGCACATGAGGATGAATGTCCAAAAAGCACTTCTCCCCAATCCTGGCAGCAAAAATACAATATGATAATATGCAATACAGAAAGGCAACAATTTGATACCCTTGCATGACACCCATAATCTGCCTATTGGTGGGGCTGACTCATAAGTAACAACCAAAATCCTTTCCTCGGGGTGGGATTTGTTCATGCTGGCCAAAATAGCTGTACTCTGGAGATGAGAAATTGTTTCTCTCCAGCCCAAACCGAACATTAAACCTAAAGGGGGGAAGGATTTTCCAGGGCTCACTGGTTTTAAATAATCAGGGACCTCTTATTCTTAATGCGGCATATTTTTGTGGCCCAGAGGACAGGATTAATTTTGGGGACAAGGAAAGAAGTGTTGGTGGCGGGTGGATGCCCCTTCCATGTAAAGGGGAACTAGACTAAAGTGAGGACAGGGATGTATAGCCAACTTTCTGGAGTACAATTGCTATTAAGTATTACCAATGACTCTACTGGTTATGGCTACTACTAATGGGAGTTGCACTTCAAAAGCATATGGAAGGTCATGCATTTCTTAAGCCTGGACTAGAGGATATTTTGAGTCCGTATTTCTGGTTAAATCCTATTTAAATACATGAGTACAGGGGTCTTGAATTATATCCTGAGGTTCCGGCCTAAAGCTTCACTCAGATGGTGGCAAACTTTTGTATTAGTTCTGATTCCCATCCATTAAAGTGCAGGAAATATCTGATAAAGGTGTTGTTTGTTTCACACACTGAATTCAAGGTTGTCCTTTTCTCACATTCATTTCAGTCACCTCCAAGCCAATTCCAGCCAATTCAGTCTGGCAAGCCAAGTGAACTTTCACTGCAAAGAACTGTATTAATAACTCATCCATGTGCTTGTAAAAAGCTCCAGTTTTGCTGTACTTTGCTCTCCTATTTTCCTAAGCCTTTTAGCCATTTACCTTTCAAATGTCCCAACTGTTGTTCCATATGGTTCTATTAACAAAGGGGGGGGGGGACATAAATAGCCAGTGTGGTGTAGTGCTTTGGGTGTTGGGCCACAACTCTGGTGACCAGTGTTTGAATCCCCACTTGACCCATTGGGTGACCTTGGACAAGTCACACTCTCAGACGAAGGCAGTGGCAAACCTCTTCTCAACAAATATTTCCACAAGAACCCTGTGATGGACTCTTCTTAGAGTCAGAAACAACTTAAAGTCACATAAAAATGTATGTGTGCATATGAATATATGTGTGTCTATGGATATATGATTGCTCACCTCACTAGATGTATTATTGCAGTCTTAAGGGGCAGATGCTATCCTGACTAGATCTTGGAAACATTTCAGATTACAACTCCCAATTCTTGCTGGATTGGAGATTCTGCGGATTGTGCTCCAATATCCTCCTTTCCTAAACTCTCTGACTCTTGTCCAAGAAGGGTCAAGAACCTGTGACTTTCCTGATGTTGATAAACTTCTACTACAGCAGAATTCATGACTGATGAGCAGGGATGATGGGTGTTGTAATCTAAGAATATTTATAAGCCTGGCTCCCCAGCCCTTTCTAGATTTGAGACATAAAAATAACCAGCCTGATTGATAGGTTTGTCCCCACCCTTCCCTGGTTTAGCAAGGCTGCTGGGCTTTCTCCTGCCTGCTGAACAACATTAAAAAGAATCATTACTGTACACGGAAGTCCCAAGGCTGGTTCATCCAGTGTAAATTTCGTCGGCAACTAGGTGTGGGGTGTCCCAAATTAGATCAAAGTCACAGAAGGAAGGGATGACTGCTATATAAGGGATGCAATCGAATACCCTCAGGCCACAGAGAGAGAAAATTACTGAAACAGTATTGGAGTTATGGTGCTGAGGGAAAGGGGATAGGCTCCCCTGCTACTGTGTCATTGGCTTATCCAAATTGAACTTTGCTAAAGATCAGTGGTTCTCAACCTGTGAGCCCCCAGATGTTTTGGCCTTCAATTCCCAAAAATCCTACCAGCTGGTAAACTGGCTGGGATTTCTGGGAGTTGTAGGCCAAAACACCTGGAGACCCACAGGTTGAGAACCACTGTTATAGATCCATTTGAGGAAGAAAATGTATGTGAAAGAGTTCTCCCACTATAACATCTCTTTTATTCCTAAATGGCACACACAACAGAGAAAGATATCCAATTCATTGTTCTTGCAGTACTTACAACAAAGTTTATTATTATTATAATTCAACCATCCTATACAGATGTATATAGATTAGGTGGTATAGATGAAACATAAATACATTTCTGTCTGTCCACAAGCATACAGTACAGACATTTCTCTCTATGTGTCTGTATATTTTAAATTAGACTTCCTCCATATCCACTGTAGTTATGACTCTGACTATTTCCATAATAATAATAATAATAATAATAATAATAATAATAATTCTTTATTTATACCCCACTACCATCTCCCCAAGGGACTCGGTGCGGCTTACATGAGGCCGAGCCCACAATACATCAGCAAAAACAACAACAGCAGCAATACAAAACAATATGAAACTCATAAATAAAAAACAGCAGTAAACATTAACAATAGCACAACAACGCATTAAAAACCTATGGCTGGGCCAAATGTAATAATTAAATTTTTAAAAAAAATAATGCTGAGCATGACCAGGTGAAATATATAACTAGGATAGAATTTCAGAGAGGAAAGGGGTGTACAGACAATCCTAAATCATTGATAAAGTGCATTTAGGGACATATTGCTAGGGGTTTCCTTATTCTGGGAAGGCACACTGGAACAACCATGTCTTCAGGCTCCTCCTAAAGACTGCCAGAGTTGGGGCATGCCTGATGTTCTTGGGGAGTGAGTTCCAGAGTCGAGGGGCCACCACCGAAAGAGCCCTCTCCCTTGTCCCCACCAATCGTGCTTGCGATGGAGGTGGGAGCGTGAGCAGGGCCTCTCCAGATGATTGAAGAGATCATGTGGGTTCGTATACAGAAATGTGGTCACGATTATGTAATAATCCAAAATTTTGTTGTTCATTCGTTCAGTCATTTCTGACTTTTTGTGACCTCATGGACCAGCCCACGCCAGAGCTCTCTGTCGGCCATCACCACCCCCAGCTCCTTCAAGGTCAGTCCAGTCACTTCAAGGATGCCATCCATCCATCCATCTTGCCCTTGGTCGGCCCCTCTTCCTTTTTCCTTCCATTTTCCCCAGCATAATTGTCTTCTCTAAGCTTTCCATACAATATTTTAAAAGTGTTCTTACGGTGTGGACAAAAAGTGCAATTCAAGTCAGGATAACAAACTTTAACTACCAACGAGTACCCAGCCCTTATCCGAAATGCTTAGGACCAGAACTGCTTTGCATTTAGGATTTTGGAATGTTTGTGGATACATAAAGAGACATTTTGGAGATAGGACCCAGTTACACATGAAATTAGTTGTGTTTTATATCTTATACTTATAACTTACAGGTAATTTTACAAACAATATATTTTAAAATAATTTTATTAATGAATCCAAGTTCGTAAACGCTGAAACGTCAGGATGCAAAGGTGTCACTGAACGACTTTGGGGTATTTTGGCTTGGGGTATTCGACCTGTACTTTGTTTGGAATATGAGACCTTTGTCCTTGAACACACTATGTCTCTGAGCATTCACAGAATGTCTCTCCAGCATTTAATAAGCTCAAATACAAATATCTGGATAGGAAGAGGAAAAGTGTCATGGTTGCAAAGTAGGTCTTTCCTTCCCAGCGATTAAAAAAAAAGCTGTCTGTCTTTATCTATCAAAGTTTACTAGGATACTTGTCTAAAAGTTGTTTTTACATCCTATTTCTGCTAAGTGAACCCTCTCTGATCATGTGTTCTCCCGTGATCATAGACCAGAGTCATTAGAAAGTAGCATTTCAAAGGCAAATGCTTGTGGCTAGTCAATCTTTTGATTTTTCAGACATCTCCAAATTAATAAGGGAATCTAGGATGAGGTTCTCATGGTTCAGGAGAGGCAGTCCATCCCTTTTGTAAGGCTAATTTCATATATGTATATGTGTGTGTGTACACGCATATCGTATATACTTGAGTATAAGTTGACCTGAATATAAGCCGAGGCGCTTAATTTTAACACAAAAAAATTGGGAAAACGTACTGACTCAAGTATAAGCCGAGGGTGGGAAATGCAGAAGCTACTGGTCAATTTTAAAATAAAAGTAGATACCAACAAAATTACGGTACATTAATTGAGGCATCAGTATGTTAAATGTTTTTGAATATTTACATAAAACTATAATTTAAGATAAGACTGTCCAACTCTGATTAAACCATTATCCTAACCTTCTTCAATGTAAATGTGCTTACGAATCCTTCCAATAATAATAGAGTAAAATAATAAATGTAATAATAACAGTAATAATAGAGTAAAATAATGGAAATGTAATAATAACAATAAAAGAGTAAAATAATAAATGTAATAACAAAAATAAAGCAAATAATAAGTGTAACCATAATAACAGAATAAAATAATGGAAATGTAATAATAATAACAGAGTAAAATAATAAATGTAATAAAATATAATAACAGAGTAAAATAATAAATAACCTTGACTCAAGTATAAGCCAAGGAAGGGGGGTGGCTTTTTCAGCCTTAAAAAAGGACGGAAAAGCTCGGGTTATACTCGAGTATACACGGTATATATGCAGATAAACTTCCTGGCAGATTATGTTCCATGTCTATGTAGGGTGGGGTATGTTTAGAGGTTTACTTGCTTTGCTTGTTGTATTTAGAATCTCCTCCATCTTTTCTCCTTTAAACTCTGGTATTCTTCCAACTTTTCACTAACAACAACCTTGAGAAGTAGGTTAGAGTAAGAGAGTGACTTGCTCAAGATTACTCACTTAATTTCATGATTTAGTGAGGATTAGCATCTGAATCTCCCAAATCTAACCACCACACTGGCTCTATATTTAGTACAGTAGTGACAGTTATATCTAATACCAAAATATCTTGGCTCAGCTCTCTTGCGTTCAAGTGTAAGACCTTCATAACTGTGCATATAGAAAGAGTGGGGCGGAAGGGAGCAGAGGATAAATATACTGTGGTTAGAAACTCCCTAGCTCCCTCCCTCCCCGCTCTCTAGCTCTTTCATAATCTGAGAGCATTTAGAGCAGAGGTGGAAATAATATGCCTTTCCAAATGCTGTTGGACTACAACTCCTAGCATTTTTCACCACTAGCTCCACTAGGTCTATTGCGGCTACCAATTTAACAATACCCAGGGCCAATTCACACCGCACAATTGTAACACCATGTTGACTATATATCTGCCATGATTGCATCATATGGAACCACGTGGTTTGGCCAGAGGTTTGACATAGTTATCTTGGAGGACCTAGAACTTCCTAGATAAGTGTTATTGCTAATTAGAGAAATATACTATTTTTAATTCAGTTTTCCTATTTTTGCTGGGGTTTTGCGCCCCTAACCCCTGCAAAAGTGGAGGGCCTACTGCCTATGGTTGTGAAAGCTGGGCAGCAAAGAATGTTGATAGGAAATACAGTGCTGGAGTGCCTTGTGGGGTCCAAGATATAATCAAACTTGAAGACTTCTTGGAAAACAAATGGACTAAACCAAGGTTTTGCACTTTGACCATACAATCATCATCATCATCATCATCATCATCATCATCATCATCATCATCTTTATTTATACCCCGCCACCATCTCCCCCAATGGGGACTCTGAGATGAGATGACTCCGGTTGCATCTACATCAGTGGTTCCCAACCCTTTTTTGACCAGGGACCACTTGACCAGGGACCATGTGACCAGGGACCACTTTGACCATGGATTACTTTGACCAAGGACTACCCTCCAACATTAGTACCAAAAGGGTTATGAATCAGCTTTTGGTCAACTTTAGATTTGGTTTGGTTATTTGGGGTGCTGAAAATTACATTGGATAGACCACATCAGCTCTAGTTTCTGATGCAGAACATATGCCATCCAGTGGTCACCATCTGCTCACCCACAGTAAGCCATATTTAATAATCTAGAGCTGATGTGGTCTATCCAATGCAATTTTCTGAACCAGTACCCCAAATAATCCCAGGAACAGGCCTAAAAACGAAGACACCAAGGCGCCCCTGCTTATAGGCACCACAGAACATATGCAACCAGTAGTCTCCATCTGCTCGCCCACAGAAAACCATATTAAATAATATAGAGTTGCAGACCTTATTTTAGGTCTCATGGTCAAACAGTGGGCCGTGACCCACAGGTTGGGAACCACTGATCTACACTGTAGAATGACTACAGTTTGACCCCACTTTAACGCCATGGCTTAATGCTATGGAATCATGTGAACTGTAGTTTTACAAGGCCTTTAGCTTTCTCTGCAGAAGAGTGATGGTGTTTCACCAAACCATAAATCCCAGGATACCACAGCATTTAGCAATAGCAGTAAAAAATGGTGTCCAACTGCATTAATTCTACAGTGCAGAATCACCCTCAATAGAAACGACAATAATAGGCAAAGAGAACAGCAGTTAGGAAAAGAGGAAGATGTTCATAGGATCACCATAAGCTGACATGATGGAAATGAACAGCAATTCTGTCATGAGAGCAGCCATATGCTGAGACAAGAAGGCAGTGGGATGATGAGATTTATCACAGCCAAGCAACAGACAGTGTCTTGGCTTTGTAAAAAGGCATTTCCTGTTCCCTTTTCTGCCCTTTTTGCTGAAAGGAGACTATATTCGCAGCATGTAGGTGGACTCTCAGTCGATGACAAAAGAACATCTTGTGTTCTGTTTTGGTAACAAATAATAAAGAGAGAGTCAGTTGCAGGAAATACAGTTCCCTTTGGGCAAACTTTGGATAGGCTTGTATGCGTGTGTGAGAACTGGACACAAAGCACGACTCCATACAATACAACCTTTCTTTGTGCCCAAAAGGCCCTGTGCTTTATTTCTGTTTAATTTCAAAGCTGACTACACCCATCCCTTTAAAAAACAGAGAGAGCTAGTCCTGCATTAAATCATTGATAACAAAAGGGCTTTTCAGCCAGATCAATTCTATACACATCCCAAACCCCTCCACCTACCTTTGCTTTCTCTTTATATAGATAATAGGCATAACAATGACCTCTTGACTATGGGTTATCGCAGGTGGAAAACACTGGGATGAAATACAAGTAGATAGTGGACTTTTGAACTGTGGTGCTGGAGGAGAGTTCTGAGAGTGCCTTGGACAGCGAGAAGATCCAACCAGTCTATACTTCAGGAAATAAAGCCCAACTGCTCATTGGAGGGAAGAATAGTAGAGACAAATATGAAGTACTTTGGCCACATAATGAGAAGAAAGGGAAGCTTAGAGAAGACAACTATGCTGTGGGAAATGGAAGGAAAAAGGAAGAGGGGCCGACCAAGGGCAAGATGGACAAACATCTTTATTAGTACCTTACCACGTAGCACTCCTGATGTTTTAGCTGGTTTGTGCCACAACAGTTGGGCTTAGTGGGTTAACAAATTTTGAAGAGCTTCAAAATAGTCAATTCCAGTAAATCCAACGGAGGAGGGAGATGTGTTGATCGATATGGTCTATAATATTGTATAAGCGAATTATATTAGTTTGCTTGCAGGCATACACACCCCTCTCCAAAGATCAGAAGTTCATTGCATAATCATCATTTGATTAGGATCAGCTCACATTCCCAGAACAGCGAGCTGCCAAAGGTCAAAGCAATTAAGCTAGTGGTTGTCTTAGGATAGTAGGGGCTTAAATACCCTAAAGCAGTGGTTCTCAACCTGTGCGTTAGGTTTTCTGAAAGTTGAAGGCCAAAATATCTGGGAACCCACAGGTTGAGAACCATTGTCCTAAAGACACCATATTCCATCTGATCTTGGATGCTAATCAGGGTTAGATATGTTTAATACTTGGATGGGAGACCACCAAAACATAGCAGGTTCTGTTGGCTTTATTTATTAATTTATTTCTTTATGATATTTCTATCCTGCCTTTCTCAAGCCCGAAGGAGACTCAAGGCGGCTTACAAATTGGCAGCAATTTGATGCCATTTCAGAGGAAGGAACTAGAAGACCTTTAAGAACTCCTTGCCTAAGAAAACCCTATGAAATGTATGCGGTCACCATAAATTAACAAGTATCTAAAGGCACACAAACACATGGATTTTGGGAGATTAGGGTTCAAATCCTGTCTTAGGCATGGAAACCCATTGGGAGTGTGTAGGTAAGTCACTCAATCTCAGCCCCAGAGAAAGACAATGGCAAACCTCTAAACCAATGGTTTCCAACCTTTTTTTTGATCAGGGACTGCTTGACCAGGGACCACTTTGACCAGGAACCACTCTCCATTAGTACCCAAAGAGTTACAAATCAATTTTTGGTCATTGATTTGGTTTAGTTATTTGGGTTGCCGATTCAGAAAACTGCATTGGATAGATCACATCAGTTCTAGTTTCTGATACAGAACATATGCCATCCAGTAATCACTATCTGCACAAAAAATATATTTAATAAGCCTTGGCACTACAAGAGGGTTTCATGAGACTAGTCGCTCTCATTGCAATGGTGAGGTCGCGGACCATATTGTAGTTCTTGCAGACCACTGGTGGTCCACAGACCACAGGTTGGGAACCACTGCTCTAAACAAACCTTGCAGGAAAAAAAAAAACAGGCCACACTTCATCCAGAGATACCCAAAAGTGCAAGAAAGGTATAGACTGGAAAATAACCTCTCCCAAAACAGCATAAGATCACCAGCTGAAGATTTGCCAGGTATTTTATTTTCCCCCAGTACCAAGGAGAAACACTTTTGTCTCAAAGTCAACAAACCAGTTCTAGCAGCTTTCAAATCCACCAGTCCTTTGTAAAGCTAAATGCCCATTCAAGTCATGGGCTGCTCATGACAATAGACACCACAGAATCTACAGAACCGTGGGCCAACTAAAGTGTGCAAAATACAGTAGGCAAGCTTTCAAAGCTTCACTGGTTTCTTCAGGCAGAGGATAAACATCATAGAGAAGAAAAATGATATCAAAGCAGGTAGAAGGCACTCCCTTTCTTGTGCTTGTGGTGATTGGGGACAAAGGGAATTGAAACTTTATTGCCTGTCTTTTATTGTATTTTGTCCTCACATGTCTAAAAAGGTGGACAGCCCTTTCCCAGCATTTAGATCTCTCCAGAACTTAACTGATGACAGAAATAATATCTGAAATAAAATGGAGACCTGTGACTCTAAAACTGTGTGCATCTGCAGAATTAATGCGATTTGACACCAGTTTAACTGCCATGGCTCAATGATATGGAATCAAGGGAGTCATGGTTTTACAAAGTCTTTAGAGTTCTCTGCCAGAGTGGTGCCTCACCAAACTATAAATCCCACAGTTCCATAGCATTGAGCCTGGGCCAATGCTAAGCAGGGCCAAACTGCATTAATTTTATAGTGTCTGCACCACCACCACTTTCCTTCTCCAGTATGATTTTATTATTGTAGACTAGATTCAGAAGTTGGCAACGGCAAAGCATCTGAGTATTCATTGACTAAGAAAACCCTATTAAATTTCTGGTATCACCATAAGTCAACAGGTGATTTGAAAACAAACACACAAAGATTTAGGCCCAAGGTTATTAGTTGAGCAGGGATATGAAGATGGATCTGTATCTTACAATCATATCTCACAACTTTTGAGTTTCTTTGGAATGTCACCCCAAGGAGTGCTTGGAAAGGTCGTTTTGGATGGCCGATCTCAGAATCTGAGTCAGTTCTAGAAGTTAAAATTCCAAACATCTAGAATTTGTAGTGTGTGTTTTTTATTGTATTCCAAGGCCTATTCCACACAACTGAGTAATACCCCACATTAATCTGCTTTGAATTGGAATATAGGGCAGTGTGGACTCTGATAACCCAGTTCAAAGCAGTATTGTGAGATTTTCTGTCTTGATATTCTGGGTTATATGGCTGTGTGGAAGGGCCCCAAGATAAAATAGAAAATGTGGTAACTTGAAACCTCTTTTCCAATCCCTAGTGTAGGAAAGACAGTGTGGAGGGTCTGGTTTTGATTGCTTTCAGGCAATGCTGTTCTGCACAAAGCTGGGAAACTCTTGTCCCAATTGTTTTGCTTTGCAAACATGGTTTACTTCAACCTTCAGAAAATACACAAAACCACTGCTTGAAGTAAGGAAACTGAATGTGTTCTGCATGCATTCCACAAATGAGTGTTTGCAAGCCTGCTGGGGACTCTTCCAGCCAAGGGAATCCCATTCTCATTAATGAACTGCCCCAGGAGGGCCTGACCCCTGATGACTGAACAAGGGACCGATGACTGAGAAGGCAAATATGCACCAGGAGCTGAGAAAGGGCAAAAAGTTATCAAGGCTGCAGTTTCACTGGGACGCAACCCAAGAACTCAACCGAGAGTAAACCGATACTTGGGCTGCACACTGGAAAAGGCTCTTCTCTTAGCTCCTCCTGGCGGAAAGTGGATGTATAGCATACTCCTCCAAATGATGGCAAAATATCAAATAATAAAAGAATGGGATAGTTATCCCCAGCTTTCCTGGCTGAATTTGTATCTGGAGTGAAGTTGATTAGAGACACAAGAGCCCTTCTGGGTGCCGGAGGGAGGCATTCTTCAACTGAAATGTTTGAGAAAATGGAGGCACACTCCACTTTGGAAGAAAGAAAAAGAGAAACTGGACAAAAGTTAATATTAAACCACACTCCCCTTCGACTGCAAGCTAACTTTTATTGCCCAATGTACATAAGCACAGACTCCAACTTAGTACACAGCAGCAAGTGGGTGCCAGATGGACCAGATAGAGCAAGGACATGAATTACTGGGACAGCATACACCAAACATATTTTATATGAAACATTACATAGCACACATTACCAAGTAAGCATCTCATCTCTTAGGATCAGCTGATCTTTTATTGCACTTCCATTTATGGCAATGGATAAACCAGTTACAAGTTTTTGAAAACTACCTCAACATAAACATAATGAATGGTTGACACGCTTGGTTAGGCACCTCAGAGGCAGAAGGCAGGGTTTCTCTAGTCAATACTGGTTTTGGTAGATGCAATAGACTGGATCCTGAATTTCTTTCGGTGGATTTAAAATATTGACAGACTCCCAATATTTTGAATCCTGGTGACTAGGCCACTTGAGCGCCAGATATAGAGCGTGGGGCTGCACATTGAGAGGGGACAACGATGGGAAGCTAAGGGTCAGTATTAACTCATCCTCTAGAGAACTCAAGACCACTCAAAATGTGTCTTCCAAATCTCCTGACACCCCATAGAGAGCAAGACGTTTTGGTCAGATTTGAGAAAATTTTACACCCAAGAGAAATTATTTGTTTTTTAAAATCCTTTCCTATGTTTTAAATGGCCAGGAGGCTAAAGAAACTGACAAAAGTGCCACTATCTAGGAGACAAATAATTTAAAAACCTGACCGAAGAGGCTTGGGACCCCTAAAAAGGGCCTAAGGATTGCACTTTGCCCACTCCTGCTGCAAATACATGGGGACTGAGTGAAAACTGATTCTTTTTTGTGTGCTTTTTGTGACTTCAAGATACTTCTCAACTTATGACAACTAGAATCATAGAGTTGGAAGAGACCTCATGGGCCATCCAGTCTAACCCCCTGCCAAGAAGCAGGAAAATCGCATTCAAAGCACCCCCAACAGATGGCCATTCAGCCTCTGTTTAAAAGCCTCCAAAGAAGGAGTCTCCACCACACTCCGGGACAAAAAGTTCCACTGATGAACAGCTCTCACATACAAACATTACAAACTCCTATCACCCTCAGACCATAAGTTCTTCCTAGTGTTCAGGTGGAATCTCCTTTCCTGTAGTTTGAAGCCATTGTTCTGCATCCTAGTCTCCAGGGCAGCAGAAAACAAGTCTGCTCCCTCCTTCCTATGACTACCCCTCACATATTTATATATGGCTATCATGTTTCCTCTCAGCCTTCTCTCCTGCAGGCTAAACAGGCCTAGCTCTTTAAGCTGCTCCTCATAGGGCTTGTCTCCAGACTCTTGATCATTTTAGTTGCCCTTTTCTGGACACATTCCAGCTGATCAACATCTCCCTTCAATTGCAGCGCCAAGAATTGGACAGAGTATTCCAGGTATGGTCTGACCAAGGTAGAATAGAGGGGCAGCATGACTTCCTGGATCTAGACAGTATACTCCTGTTTATGCAGGCCAAAATCCCATTGGCTTTTTTAGCTGCCGCATGACATTGTTGGCTCATGTTTAACTTGTTGTCCATGAGGACTCTAAGATCTTTTTCACACATACTGTTATTGAGTCAAGCATTTCCCATTCTGCATCTTTGCATTTCATTTTTTTTTCTGCCTAAGTAGAGTATCTTGCATTTGTCTCTGTTTAACGTAATTTTGTGAGTTTTGGCCCATCTCTCTAATCTGTTAAAATCATTTTGAATTCTGCTTCTGCGTTTTCATAAAGTTTTCTTAGAAAAGGAATAGGAACACTCAGAGGAGGTTTAGTCAGTTCCTTTCACTGAAATATAGCCTACAACAAATATAGCCCCTGTGCACAAGCACAGAATGGGCTGCCCTGATAAGATTTCAATATTCTGAGAACATAATTTTCTATGCTCTTCATCCTATGAAATCAAGTCCTTAGCTTTTAAAGTTTGAGAGAATAAATGTAGCAGCAATGTTCTGAGAAGTCAGAAGCAAAAGCCAAGCAGAAATTTCATATGTCCCTCTCACACCTTCTAGCTCTGTCTTTCAGACATGTAGGATTACAACTTACAAACATTACAAACTCCTACTACCCTCAGACCAGTAGGGCCCATCTGGATGTCACTGGCTCCTGGTTAGGGGAATCTAGAGCTGTTCAAACATCCTCTTTTTTGTAAATGTTCTAAGATCCTAATACTATGTTCAGAATTGATGGTCTCAAGAAAGCAGTTCCGAAAGCAGTGATGGGCAAAACACATCTTTGGGGTGACATGCAAACCACCAAAGGATGCTTTTGTGAGCCTCAGCATCTCCAAAATGTAAACAAATTATAGCAGAACACAATTAAAAGCAGCATAAAATCACAGTGATAAAAAGACACAGCACCTCCTGTTAAAGCCCCTCTCTTCAGCAGACAGTCAATTGCCAAAAGCGTGTTTGAATAAAAAAAGTCTCTTGCCTGCAAGTTTAGGGATACAAAACTGAAACCTATCTGTCAATGTCAATGCAGAACCGGACCGGTTAAACCAGGCATTACAAAATGAATCCAATCTGTTAGGATCTCTCATAGGCATGCCCTCCAAACCCCAGGAGATACAGAATTCTTGACTCTACTCATAAAACTGTAAAGTAAAGGCAAAGGTTTCCCCTGACATGAAGTCTAGTCATGCCCAACTCTGGGGGTTGGTGCTCATCTTCACTTCTAAGTCGAAGAGCCAGCATGGTCCATAGACATGTGGCCGGCATGACTGCATGGAGCACCATTACATTCCCACAGAAACAGTACCTATTGATCTACTCAAATTTGCATGTTCTCAAACTGGGGCTGGGGCTAATAGAGGGAGCTCGCCCGCTCCATGGATTCAAACTGCCAACCTTTCGGTCAGCAAGTTCAGCTGCGCAGTGGTTTTACCTGTTGTGCCATAACATTGTATTTCACTATAAATTCCTAAAACGTCATTACCTTTGTAACCTGACCTATCTCTAATGAGATCAGGTTCAAATAGGGATAGCCCCATTTATCTTCACAACCATCCTGTGAAACAGACCAGGCTGATTCAAGGTGTTTGTGCAGTGACTTGATCCCAAACTTCCTCTGGGGAGATCCAGTGTTTATCCACTGACCTGCAACCTGTTCTGTCTAGGGGAGGAAGCAAGAAACACAGATTTTGGCACACATACTGCAAGAATGGCACAACAACAATTAACTCTACAGGCTTTTCAAGGGGAGAGTCTCTCGTACACCCAGTTGCCCTCCGCCTTGTGGGTCATGGGCTCCAATGGCACACTAGGATCCTGGCAGTACCGGAAGACAAGACGATCATGCAGACGGTTTGTCTGGCCCTGCCAGAACTCAATGACTTCTGGCTTTAGGATGTATCCACCCCTGTGAGAGAAGAGAGAACACGGGCATTCAGCCTGAGCTCAAGAAATATAAGACCTAATCTGAAGCCATCTTGCTAAACCTACTACTATTCCTCAGCACAACATAATTCTCAGTGGGTTAAAAAGAAATCCACAAATCACTCCAGCCACTTTTTAAAAATCCTGGTGCATGACAGGTTTTTAAAAAATCACAATTACTATGTGTAAGACTCTGATGATCCCTTACCCTTAGAGCAGTGGTTCCCAACCTTTGGGCCTCCAGGTGTTTTGGACTTCAACCCAGAAATCCCAGCCAGCTTACCAGCTGTTAGGGACTATGGGAGCTAAAGTCCAAAACACCTTGAGGCCCAAAGGTTGGGAACCACTGCTTTAGAGTGACAACAAAGTCTTAACCACCCACAACTCAAATTACCATTTCACTGGGTTACAAAGACATATTGATGCATTTCCCAGTTTATGGCTGGCAGTGAATAAATGGAAGATAATATAAGTGAATCTAAAGCTGAAAGGCATACAAAGGTCCAACTCACCAATAGGCTGGCTTAGGCACCTTGGCTTCTCGATATGCTTCTTCTAGCTCTGCATTCTTTTTCCTTAAAAACTAACGAAGAGGGAAAGCGATAGGAACACTTTCGGAAAGCAAACAGCAAAAGAAAAACAGGAAGCTTAGCACCACCTCTAAACTAGTAGTGCAATGTTGTAAATAAGTTGCAGTGGGGACATGAGAGAAGCCTCCCAACAAGGATGATAAAACATCAGGGCGTCACTTGGGCAACGTCCTTGCAGACAGCCAATTTTCTCACACCAGAAGTGACTTGTAGTTTCACAAGTCGCTCCTGACACGAAAAAAGTGGTCAACTTTATTATCTTGTATTTCTCTGCTGGCTACCAAGGAAGGGAAGCCCCACCCCATCCCTGCATCCTTTTTGCCAGTATGGAAACTCACATAAATCTCAAAGGCTGCAAAAGTGTTCTTCTGCTAAGCAAACCATCAGTGGAGAAGAGAAAAATAATATATCATTCTTCCACAAGTCTTCTTGCTCACATGCATAGAAGTTTTGGTCAGCCAGGGCTTTCAAACAACATCTTCAATATAAGACCATGCTTGCATTTAACTATTAATTTCAATTATGTGCATGGCACAGTTACATTTAACGATGTAAACAGGCCTACACACAGTCAGAATTTCCTGGTACAAAATTAAACATTCTGAAGTGGTCAACTTTTGGAGGAAGTGGTTTGTGTGCCAAGTTTCACTCCTCAAGAATAAGCATAACTTTCAGTGGTTTGGCATTAAGACTAGTATATTTCTCCTGCTCCAGTTTGAAAGACAGTACTTTTCGGTAACAAGATCCCAGCTTAAAACAGCACTGGCTACTTCTTTAGGAATTATGATAACTGAAGCCAAACACATCTGAAAAGGAGGTGTGCTTTTCAGAAGGATATCTAATATTGTTGTTTAACATGGGACTTGGTGCTTTTTATTTATCTATCTATCTATCTATCTATCTATCTATCTATCTATCTATCTATCTATCTATCTATCTATCTATCTTTGTATCTGACAACGTAAGCAATAAGCATTTTGTTGTCTCTTACAAAAATGTACTGCAGGCATAGAAATCATATGGTCTTCCAGATGCAATTCCCAGCACGTCCAGCCATCACTGAATGGTAAGGAATGCCAGAAACGGTAATGGAGTAACATCTGAATGGTGATCTGATTCCCTACTCCAATTTTTTCTCTCAAAGCATATCATACACACACACAACTATGGGAAGGACAACTATGGAGAATTCTGTAGGATATCTTCTGTAAACTAACAAAGCATGACCAAACATTCAGTAAGAAAAAAGGTAATTCTATATGGAAATGGTATGAATGGCACAGAAGACACATTTTAATTTTGTTTGCCTTTGCTTAGTCCTAAGGTATATGGCCAAAGAAAAGGTTCCCAAGGAACAATCCTCACCTCTCTATCTGGGATCACTGTGCTTTGCAGACTCACTACAGCCCCAATTTGGCTGCTCTTTGGACGCGACTGGAAATACTTCTCCGATTCCTGCTCAGGAAGCCTCTTCACCGAGCCTTCAATCCGCACCTGCAAAGAAACCAATAAAAATAACTAATGGGAGACAAGAGGGAAGACTACTCAGGAATTATGACATATGGTTCTAACCCTGAATATGTCAAAAATAAACGGTAAAGAAAGGCCCACCCTAAAGTAAATTAATCTCTTGGCATATTTTGTTACTGTGTTCTAATTGTGATAACTTCCTCATTTCTTTGAGAGTTACTTGGCCACTCCATTCCATGGCCCTTCAACCAAAGGAGTTCCTGCTGCTGCTGCTGCTGCTCCACAGATAAATGATCCCTCTCATTTTCTAAAGCCACTCATCTTAGAATCTAGCAATATCCTCATCCTAAGCCTTGCAAACACATTTCCCATGGATACCAACATCTGGCCAATGACATCTGCAATATGAAATTTATTTATTTATTTATTTATTTCATGCATTTCTACCCTGCCCTTCTTCCTACAAAGGGAGACTCAGGGTGGCCTCACATAAGCATCATATGATGCTATCAACACATACACCACAAACATTACAATTAAACAATAAAAATAATTTTAAAACATTATAAAAATTCATTAATAAATTCATTCAACAATAAAATAGTGTGCCATTTAAAACCAAGAGACAGCCAGGTAAATCCAATGTCGCAAATGTCCAAAATTTCCTTTCCAATTGCCGCTGTCCTCTAGTCGAATGTCTGGTCCCAAAGCCAAGTCTTCAGTTGTTTTCTAAAGGACAGGAGGGAGGTGGCCAACCTGATGTCCTAAGGGAGTGAGTTCCACAGATGGGGGAACCATTGCCGAAAAGGTCCTGTCTCTCATCCCCATCAACCACATTTGCGAAAGTAGTGGGATCAAGAGCAGGGCCTCTCCTGACGATCTTAAGCTGATGTATTGAAAGTTCTTTGTCCCTACGCTCTAGTCTACACTATTTCCTCCATAAAATGAGTCATAGGAAAACTCTCTGGTTTACATTGTTTAGTTTTAATATGTTTGACTTGTTTGGATTTCATTGTAACTGTGTATTGATACATGTATGTTTGGCATCAAATTGCTGCCTGTTGTAAGGCTGCCTTGGGTCCCCTCTGTGGTGCGAAAGGCGGAATAGAAATATAGCAAAAATAAATAAATTCTTTACTCAAGACTTCCAACAGATTCAACCAAGCTTTGAAGCATTTACAGAGCAACTGGAAAACTGAAAGAAGAAGGCATGATAAACTCGGTTCAAAACTCCTTCTCACAGTAGCCTGTGTCTCCAATGCACTTTCTGTCTGATTGCAGAAGTCATTTTCAGTTGATGAAAAGGAGATTGTTTACCTGGCGATTGAGAGGCTCCCAGTAGAAGACCATTGAGGCAAATGGATTTGAGTCCTGTAAATGGAGAAGGGAAAAAACCAATACAAGAATGAAACAGAAATTTTTTGTCTCACTAGATAACACAGTCATCTCATTTATACAGGTTTGTCTGTATTCCCACCCAACTTTTTCTTTGGCTGCTTACCAATTTCTGTCCACTCTAGCTCTCATATTTCTAGCCCTCCACAGATAGACTTCACTGTAAGGCTGATTTTTATTCTGGCTGGCTGAAGTCTTGTCATCCTCATATATAAGTAATCTGTTTATCTAGGCTGTATGCTTTTATCAATCCCAACATGTTGTTTTTGTCCAACTTTTCTTCATGCAAGCACTTAAATTCAAAAACACAACAGCAATCACTTGTTAAGCAACTTTCCATTTTTTTCTACTAAATAGCGATATAAACATTGAACAAATGTGGTTATACCAGGCACAGGCAAACTTCAGCCCTCCGGATGCTTTGAACTTCAACTCCCAGAAAATGGTTGGCTGGCTGGGATTTCTGGGAGTTGAAGTCCAAAACACCTGGAGGGTCGAAGTTTGCCCATGCCTGGTTTATACTATATCCAACTAATAAGTGGGCAGAGTCCCTGAAAGTTTACATTAAAAAAAAAACCCCTTTAGCCTTTTATGGTGCCACAAACCTCTGTGTTTTGCTGCCACGGAGTAACATAGTGATCATAGTGAACATTTTTACATATTCGCTGAAGCAGAGTTTAAACTAATATTGTTGTCTCCTTTCTAAATAAGCCTTGATATGTCAGCTCCAAAGCAAACAGTTTGAGTTGCCAGCCTATGGCATCCTTGTTCTTTTCCATATGTTTCTCAAACAGGACAGCATTATTATTATTATTATTATTATTATTATTATTATTAGAAACACAACAAGATGAGTCCACAGCAGACTCTGCTGGTTGTTGTATTGGATCACACATCAGACACTGTCCTAGACAAGTGTCTAGGACTGTGTGATGTATCGGTGAATAATGCGTGTAGATCCCAGTAAGGTGGCCTTCTGCAGCTGGCAGATGGTAATTTTGTCAGTGCCGATTGTGTTTTAAGTGCAGGCCAAGGTCTTTAGGCACTGCACCCAGTGTGCCGATCACCACTGGGACCATCCTGACTGGCTTGTGCCAGAGTCTTTGCAGTATTATTATTATTATTATTATTATTAATAAACTGCTTTTCCTCCCATAAAGCAGTGAACACTCACCAGTTCCTTTCCTTTCCTGCTCTCATGGTTGGTGAAGAAGCGGAAGCCTTCCTGACTAAAGCCCTTCAAAAGCAACATTCGAGCCGAAGGTCTGCCATCCCTGGGAAAGCATAAACACAGATTGTTGTAAGACACACAAATAAGAATCAATACAATAAGGAAAGTATGAAAACAATTAGGATTCCTACCTGGTACATGTGGCCAGGCACATGGCATTAACTTCCCCAATGGATGGGCATTTCATTGCTTCCTCAAACCATGCGGAGAACTGTTTTATGGGATTAAGGGAGATGAGATGTTTTTCTTCAAAGGCCTGGGAAGAAAAACAAACAGCATTGTCATAGAAGCCAACCATTTGGGATTTCTGGGAGTTGAAGCCAACAATAGGTTTTTGGGTTTCTCCATTTTATTGACTGTATATTGTGTATACAACCCCAAAAAGCACTTTTCCAGGCATTTGAAATTATAAATTCACAAGGAAGGGGATTATGCTATCACTCTCTCCCCTTTAACATTCTGAAAGTGAGAGCCATGGAAGCTTTCCATGTCATTTCAACCCTAATTACATGGATTTTTCACAATATCTCCATACCTAGAGAAAATTCTCCCCCTCTTGATGGAGGAGAGGAGGGACAAAATATGTTGCTACCTAACACATATTTATTACATCAAGAACAGATGCCTGAATATGTCCAATCCTCTCAAACTAATAATGTAAATAACTTACCATGGCCTTTATGCCTCATTTCTCCCTACTTCTATTTCCCTTAAAGTGCTCCTCAGTCCTCTTAGGGTGCACCTACACTGTAGAATTAATACAGTCTGACGCCACTTTAACTGCCATGGCTCAATGATATGGAATCGTGGGGGTTGTAGTTGTACAAGGACATCAGCCTTAGAAAAGCACCATCCCTCTACTCGTGGGATGGTGCTTTTCCAAATGAAAACTCTGATTAATCCATAGTACGGCCAGTCCCCAAGTTATGAACAAGATAGGTTCTGTAGGTTTGTTCTTAGGTTGAATGTGTATGTAAGTCCAAACAGGTACATTTTTAAAGTGTGACAATTGGATTTTGAAAAAAAAAAAAAAAGACAAAGATTGGTGAGGAAGCTTCAGTGTGTTAAAGCGCTGAGCTTGTTGACCAAAAGGTTGCACGCAGGTTCTAATCCGGGGAGCGGCGTGAGCTTCCGCTGTCAGCCCCAGCTTCTGCCAACCTAGCAGTTCGAAAACATGCATATGTGAGTAGATCAATAGGTACCACTCTGGTGGGAAGGTAATAACGCTCCATGCAGTCTTGCCGGCCACATGACCTTGGAGGTGTCTATGGACAATGCCGGCTCTTTCGCTTAGAAATGGAGATGAGCACCACACCCCAGAGTCGGACCCGACTGGACTTCATGTCAGGTGAAAACCTTTACCTTTACCTAGAATAGCATCTCCTATGCAAAATGATCAAATATATGAAATGACGAAGTTAGTGTCTTTTAGATTTTTAATATATACATATTTTTCGATTTGCTATTTAAAAAAAAGTTCAAGTTGTGGATAGTTAAATCCATAGAGACAAAGAACCAATTGAACTGCCAATGTCTTTTTAATGCAATGTTAATTGATGATAACCGCATAAAGGAAAGGTAAAGGTTTCCCATGACATAAAGTCTAGTGTGGCCGACTTTCGGGTGGTGGTGCTCATCTCAATTTTTAAGCCGAAGAGCCAGCGTTATCTGTAGACACCTCCAAGGTCATGTGGACAGCATGACTGCATGGAGTGCCGATACCTTCCTGCAGAAGGTACTACTCACATTTGCAAGTTGATCTACTCACATTTGCATGTTTTCAAACTGCTAGGTTGGCAGAAGCTGGAGTTAACAACGGGAGATCACCCTGCTCCCCAGATTCGAACCTCCAACCTTTCAGTCAGCAAGTTCAGCAGCTCAGCAGTTTAACCCACTGCACCACCAGGGGGTATAGTGTAATCCAAATAAATCCGGTGGCGCAGTGGGTTAAACCCCTGTGCTGGCAGGACTGAAGACTGACAGGTAACAGGTTCGAATCTGGGGAGAGTGCGGATGAGCTCCCTCTATCAGCTCCAGCTCCCCATGCGGGGACATGAGAGAAGCCTCCCACGAGGATGGCAACACATCAAAAACACCCGGGTGTCCCCTGGGCAACATCCTTGCAGATGGCCAATTCTCTCACACCAGAAGCGACTTGCAGTTTCTCAAGTTGCTCCTGACACGACAAAAACAAACAAACAAACAAACAAACAAACAAAAAACCAGGGGGCAATCCAAATAAATAATTGCATACAAAAAACCAGGGGGTAATCCAAATAAATAATTGCATACTAGAAATTAAGTACAATTACCATAGATTGAATTTAATGTCTCAGATTTGAAGGTCACACATCAGACTAAGATCTCCTTGGTTTAAAAAAGCCCTCTGTATATGCCCAGAGACATAATTTGTTACATTATCAATTACTCCTTCTTGTTAACTTCTCATTTGCCAAGAAAACACTTTGTATATGTTCAGAGACACTCTCTATTACATTATGAATGACTCCTTTTTGCTAATTTCTTATTGCTAAACACTCTGTACATGCTCAGAGACACTCTTGGTTACTTTATGATTGGCTCCTTCTTGCTCATTTCTCTTTGGTAAAGAAAACACTCTGTACATGCTCAGAGATACCATTTATTGGTAACCAGCCAGACTTTTCTTCCTGCTAAGCCCCTGCAATGGAGAAAGGGGATTCTGGGTCCCAATCCTCCTCGCTCACCTCCTCGTCTCCCCTGTAATTCTTCCGAAGGGGCCCCAGATCCATGGCATGAGAAGAGTTTCCAGCTTGGCTTGAACTACGAAGGCCGACGGGAGCCAAAACACCGAGCCTGAAACGTCTCCCGCAAGCCAACATTCAGCTCACCTTCTATCCATTTAATGCGCATGCGTAGAACCTAAAGAGAGTCAAAGTCCACCCCGCAGTTTCGTTCTCTCTTCAGCCGATTACAAAACTGGAGGAAGGCATGACAGGAAACCAATCCAAAGCAAGGGAATGGTCTCTCTTACGTTCTAGCAAATCAGGAGAGGACGACGATGGAGATACACCAATCAGAAGGAAAAGGGGGGGGGCTTCTTTTAGCCAATAGAAAACGACTTCCCTTAAAAGAACAACTTGGGTAAACAGAGGGACCCAGGGGGCGTGTCCTAGGGGGAGTGGGCGGGGCTTGGTGTATTTTTAAAAATTGAATGGATAGACTACTTTTCCACTATTTCTACTTCAATTGTCACAAATCTATCTATCTATCTATCTATCTATCTATCTATATCTACTATCTATCTATCTATCTATCTATAAATGTAATGGTCGTTTGTGGGATTAACATAACTCAAAAACCACTGAATTGACACCAATTTGGACACAATACACTAATCAGGCCAATAGTGACCATCACTCACAAAAAATTGATTTTGTCATTTGGGAGTTGTAGTTGCTGGGATTTATAGTTTACTACAATCAAAAAGCATTCTGAACTCCACCAATGATGGAATTGAACCAAATGTGGCACATAGGACTCCCATGACCAACAGAAAACACTAGAAGGGTTTGGTGGGCATTGACCTTGAATTTGGGAGTTGTAGTTCAATCAGAAGACGCTTCCTTCTTGGGAGGAGAGCAATGTCCAGTCTCGATAAAATAGTAAAGAGTAGAGACATCACACTGGCAACAAAGATCCGCATAGTCAAAGCCATGGTATTCCCTGTAGTAACCTACGGATGTGAGAGCTGGACCTTAGGGAAGGCTGAGTGAAGGAAGATCGATGCTTTTGAACTGTGGTGTTGGAGGAAAGTTCTGAGAGTGCCTTGGACTGCAAGAAGATCCAACCAGTCCATCCTCCAGGAAATAAAGCCCGACTGCTCATTGGAGGGAAGGATACTAGAGACAAAGTTGAAGTACTTTGGCCACATCATGAGGAGACAGGAAAGCCTAGAGAAGACAATTATGCTGGGGAAAGTGGAAGGTAAAGAAGAGGGGCCGACCAAGGGCAAGATGGATGGCATCCTTGAAGTGACTGGATTGACCTTGAAGGAGCTGGGGGTGGTGACGGCTGACAGGGAGCTCTGGCGTGGGCTGGTCCATGAGGTCACGAAGAGTCGGAGACGACTGAACGAATGAACAACAACAAGTTCACCTACATCCAGAGAGCACTATGGACTCAAACAATGATGGATCTGGATCAAACTTGGCATGAATATTTCATATGCCCAAATATGAACACAGATGGAGTTCGAGGGAAATAGCCCTTGACGTTTGGGAGTTGCAGTTGCTGGGATTTATAGTTCACCTACAATCAAAGAGCATTCTGAACTCCACCGATGATGGAATTGAACCAAATGTGGCACACAGGACCAACAGAAAACACTAGAAGGATTTGGTGGACATTGACCTTGAGTTTGGGAATTGGGAATCACCTACATCCAGAGAGCACTGTGGACTCAAACAATGATGGATCTGGACCAAACTTGGCATGAATTGGGAATCACTTACATCCCAATGGAATTGAGCCAAATCACCTACATCAATGATGGAATTGAACCAAATGTGGCACACAGAACCAACAGAAAACACTAGAAGGGTTTGGTGGACATTGACCTTGAGTTTGGGAATTGGGAATCACCTACATCCAGAGAGCACTGTGGACTCAAACAATGATGAATCTGGACCAAACTTGGCATGAATTGGGAATCACCTACATCCCAATGGAATTGAACCAAATCACCTACATCAATGATGGAATTGAACCAAATGTGGCACACAGAACCAACAGAAAACACTAGAAGGGTTTGGTGGACATTGACCTTGAGTTTGGAAATTGTAGTCCACCTACATCCAGAGAGCACTTTGGACTCAAACAATGATGAATCTGGACCAAACTTGGCATGAATACTCAATATACCCAAATGTGTACACTGATGGAGCTTGGGAAAATAGACCTTGATATTTGGGAGTTGTGATTAGTGGGGTTTATAGTTCACCTACAATCAAAGAGCATTCTGAATCCCACCAAAGACAGAATTGGGGCAAACTTCCCACACAGAACCCCCATGACCAACAGAAAATACTTAAGGTCATCCAGTCCAGCTCCCTTCACTAGGGCAAGAAAATGTAATCAAAGCCCTCCTGACAAAAAGCCATCCAGCCATAGATATAGATAGATATATGTGATTCACACACACAGATATAATATCATAGATTTGAAAGGGAGCCCTAAAGAAGGACAATTATATGTTGCATTTTCCAGAGTAGGCAAACCAGACAAAGAAGCAGCAAGAAGTACTGTTTACTCACAAGCATAAAGAAATTACATATATTAGAAACCAACACTTTCTCATTACTTTATTTTCCAGATCACCAGACTGGGCCACAGCAATGCATGGCAGGGGGCAGCTAGTTAATAAAATTCCACTTATGATTAGAATATTTAGTATTTGGAATGATTAATTGCAGGTTGGGTATCCTTTATCCAAAACACATAGGACCACAGTTCCACAGGTTTTTTTTTGCTTTCGATTTTGGAACATTTTCAAAAATATACATTCCAATATCCAAAATTTGGAAGGCAGGATCTGTCACACTACACTGTTATGGCACTATTATTCCACTTTAACTGCTGCCATAACAACAATCTATGGAATTCTGGGGTTTGTAGTTTAGTGAGGCTGAGAATTCTAAATGCCCTTCCCTAAACTGCATATTCAGGATTCTATACAGTGTTGCCGTGGCAATTAAAGCGGAATAATAGCACTACAACAGTGCAGCGTGATAGGGCTCCGAGAGGAAGACATTGATAGCATGTCCACAGATATATAAACCTCACTTGCTTAGTTTCTAACAGACCTCACAACCTCTGAGGATACCTGCCATAGGTGTGGAGAAAATGCTTCTGGAACATGGACATACAGCCCAGAAAACTCACAGCAACCCATTAATAGCATGATCCTTGTATGTATATGTGTGCTTGCGTGTGAGATATAGATATATATGAGCAGGAATCCTGCTCATATATAGTCATAGACTCAGGCCTCCCATCATGAGTTTACCAAAAGCTACAAACAATCTCATTCTCAGACTCTGTCTACACTGTAGAATTAATGCAGTTTGAAACCACTTTAACTGCTATGGTTCAATGCTATAGAATCCTGGGATTTGTAGCCTGTTGAGGCACCAGCCATCTTTGACAGAGAAGGCTAAAGACCTTGTAAAACTACAACTCCCACTATTCAGTTGCATTGAGCCATGGCAATTAAAGTGGTCTTAAACTGCATTAGTTCTACAGTGCAGACACATCCAGAGTGAATGGCAACCTGAGGCAGGGCCTTTTCTACAATGATATGGAAGCTGTGAAGCTCTTCCTTATGAAGACATTTCCATGGCTCCTTCTTTCCTGGCTTTTAGATGACAAGCCAAGGGGCTTTCGGGTCTCCTTCATGGTACCCTTTACATGCTTCTGATTAAACTGATTTGGTGACTAATCTTTATAAATAAGACACTAACAAATCCACGCCTCTGTCAATAACTGTATTTTGGGCAACTCATACGTGCTCCCTATGATGCACAAACTTGTAATTTTTCTAAGGTGGAAGGAGGTTGCCACTGCCAAAAATCACACAACTCATAGCTTGATATTTTTGTCCATCAGTACTATGGCGATATCACAATGGCTCTTAACTGTGGCACTGCATCTACTTTGGGTTTGCATCGAATCCTGAAAAACACAGAAGTGGCATTTAATGGGCCTCTGACATAATGTAAATATTCCTCACAACATTTTGGCTGGACCACAAATGAATGCTGCACAAAAACCATAAACTAAGAATGCCCATGGATGAGCCAGGTTGCTAAGGTAACAGTGACATATCCTGCATTGTGACACTTCCACTTACCTGTTCACCTGCCATATGGCTGAGGCCCTTTCTGAGAGTAAGTCTTCAATACCTTGTCTTCTTCCAAGGTGTTCACATTCTCCACAAGGACAACACTTTGATTCTGGCTTGATTTTACACAAGTAAGGGAAGAAGTGGGTTTATTCTGTGAGAATATGTGAGAGGAAGCCACAGGGAGGAGGGAGCAAGCTTGTTTTCTGTTTCCCTGGAGACTAGGACGCAAAACAATGGCTTCAAACTACAAGAAAGGAGATTCCATCTGAACATGAGGAAGAACTTCAGCAGTGGAACTCTCGGCCGTTCAGCAGTGGAACTCCCTGCCCCGGAGTGTGGTGGAGGCTCCTTCTTTGGAAGCTTTTAAACAGAGGCTGGATGGCCATCTGTCAGGGGTGATTTGAATGCAATATTCCTGCTTCTTGGCAGAATGGGGTTGGACTGGATGGCCCATGAGGTCTCTTCCAACCCTTTGATTCTATGATTCTATGAACTAAATCAAGGGTGAGGACACTGTAGCTTTCTTAACCTCCATTAGTCCTAACCAAAATAGCCAATAGTAATAATGAGAGGTGTAGCTAAACAGGGCCACAGGATTCCTGCTCATATATATCTATATCTCATGCACATGTACACATATACATACAAACATTTAATATATAATATTGATTCTAAGGCACACATTTATTTCAGTACCACCAAGAGAAAATAAGCTTTATTTATTTCTAAAAATATCTGTGATTCTAAGATGCAACCTGTTTTTTGAGATGTTTATATTGGAAAAAGTATGTCTTAGAATAGATGAAATATAGTATACACACGAACACAAGCCATTCTATGCATTTTATGAGGTTTTCCAGCATTGCATCATTCATATTAGTTCATCAATTTAGCTATCCATTTGATGCAATTCTGAGAACCCCCCAAAATACATAAATAAATCTCAAAAAAAGGCAATGCTCATTAAAGTGTCATGATTGAGAAGAACTGTTTGGGGGAAAATGCAGAGAAGCCAATACTAAGCTGACATAATTGCAAACAATGCTCACTTCACAGAAATGTCAAGGACAATGCATAGA